TCTGTCATAAACAAGGCCTCCCAGTTCTCAGCTTAGCAGTAAGTCTGGCCTCAATATGTTAGCAATGTGACTCAATGACAGTATTATGCATGCAGGGATAAGGGAGAGAAGACAGCTGTGAAAGTGTTGCTTGATGACTATTCAGTACTGCCTTTGGTGTGTATCCCAGAGCTATGTATGTTGTGTTAGCAAACTTGTTAAAAAAAAGATTTCTGCCCTGACTTGGCCCTTAGAATGAAGGTGGGCAACAATTAGGAATGGGCATGAACCATATTTTGCCATCGGGTTCGTGGTTTGTGACTGAACCACAAACCGAACTGCAAGGATAGGCTGGTCCCAAACCAAACTGTTCATATAGGGTTGTGTGCCACTTAAAGTTTAAAACCCTGCTTTCTGCTCCCCACAAAAGTGGGGGGGAGCAGAAAGCAGGGGTTTAAATGGCTCCAAGGCATTTAAACCCTCCTGTTCTACTCCCCACCATTTCTAAGCAGGGGGAGGAGCAAAACCAGATGGTTAAATATGGGATGAAGTGCCTTCTGGGAACATTTCCCCCCTCCCTTTCTGCTGGCTGCAGCCACCAGAAAGGGGGGGGGATGCCCCCTAGAAGGCATTTAACCCCTTATCTGGTGTAGGTTTGTGCAAAAAAAAAAATTCGGCCAATTCGGATTCTGCCAGATCAGGCAGAATCAATTTCAGCCGCAGTAGGCCAGTTGAATGTCAATTTCAGCCCCATTATATCCTATGGGCCATTTCAATGGCGAAAACATAGGGTATATTCTGGGGGCTGGAGGGGAGGGGGTTTGAGGGAGAGGCTCCAAACTCACAGAGTAGCTGCTGGAGCCTCTCCCCAAGATACCCACCACGTTCCAAGAACATTAGGCCAGGGGGTCCAATTCTACAGGCCCCCAAACAGGTTGCCCCCATCCCCTCAATCTTTCTCTATTGTGGGGGGGAAGTTACTTTTCCCCCACAGTGCTATTAGTGGCTCTGGGGGGGGAGGGGGTTTGAGGGAGAGGCTCCAAATTTTCAGGGTAGCTTCGGGAGCCTCTCCGCACATAAGCCCCCATGTACCAAGCAATTGGACCAGTGGACTCAGTTCTATGGGCACCCAAACAGGTTACCCCCATTACCTCCATTGTTTCCAATGGGGAAACCCAGCCAGCAGCACTTAAGGCAGGCAAGCAGGCAGCACCCAGCAGTCAGACTCTCCCAGAGAATCTCAGGGAAAGTGAACTGTCTTGGGAGGTGCTTGTTTGCCATGAGAACAAGTGGCACTGTGGCAGTGCAGCATGCCACAGTGCCACATAGAAACCCCAAAAGACCACCAGGAACAACATTTATACAGGCCCTGCCCTGTGTAAATTGATGGTGCAACCAGAAGTCCAGGGATGTAGCAGGTCAGGCCAGGGTAGAGTTGGGTAGAGTTGACTTTCTCTCCCTCTTCCCAAGCAAGGAAGGTGGTGTGCAAAGCAACACCACCAACCTTGCAGGCTGCACATGCAAGCAGCAATTGGCTGAAACTGGCCTCCCCCCACCACCACCGTTGGTCTTTCAGGGTTTCTGTGTGGCACTGTGGCATGCGTGCTTTATCTGCTGATGGATGGACAGCTGGACACCACCCTGGAAGTACTGGAGAGGGCATTACAAGCTGTGCCTGAATAGTTCAGACAGAGCCGATTGAAACTGAATCCAGTGAAGATGGAGGTCCTGTACTTGAGTCGTGGGGTGGTGGTGGTTGGGATTGGGAATCCAGCTCCCAACCCTTAGTGGGACAGCATTGGTCCCGGTGCCGAGGTCGAAGTGCTTAGGGGTACTCCTGGATTCCTCTCTTTTGATGGAGGCCCAGTTTGTGCCGTTGCTCGATCGGTCTTTTATCGTCTGTGGCTGGTCAGGCAACTGGTTAGATTACCGTAATATGCTCTGTGTGGAGCTGCCTTTGATGGTTCAGAAACTTCATTTGGTCCAAAGTCTGGTGGCCATACTACCGTCAGGGACTGGTGACAGGGATCATGTCACCGCTATGCTGAAAGAGCTGCACTGGCTACCCATCTGTTTCCTGACACAATTCAGAATGCTTGGTTCTTACTTTTAAGGCCTTCAATGGCTTGGGATCCGGGTACTTGAAGGACGGTCTCCTCCCATACTAACCAGCCCTCCCAGATAAGCTCTGCCTCTCAACTCCTGCTCTCTGTGCCCTGCAGCTGAGGCGAGGCAAGTGGTGACGAGAGACAAGGTGTTTCCTGTGATCACACCTCACATCTGGAATGCCTTCCCCCTTGAGACTAGCCAGGCACCTATGTTACTTTTTTTTACACTTCTTTTTTTTTTATCCAGGCTTTTAATTAAGGGTTTTTACCTCATCAGGTTTTAATGGTCTTCTTTGTCTTATGGAGAGGTTTAACGCTACTTCTCCTGCCAGCCTAGCAGTTCGAAAGCAAGAAATTGCAAGTAGATAAATAGGTACCGCTTCGGTGGGAAGGTAACAGCGTTCCGTGCGCCTTGGCGTTTAGTCATGCCGGCCACATGACACGGAAACGTCTTCGGACAGCGCTGGCTCTTCGGCTTTGAAACGGAGATGAGCACGGCAACCCTAGAGTCGGATTCGACTGGCTTTCGAGCAAGGGGACCTTTACCTTTACCGTAATGCTACTTATGTCCAGGGGTCATTTTGTAGAAAAAGAGGTGCAGGGGCTCATTAGCATAACTCATTAGCATAACTTATTTGCATATGCCACACCCCCTGATATCACCGGAAGTGTGTCAGAAGGCAACACCTACCACTCAGGCTCCACTGGACTGTTTTGGATTGCTAGCTATGGGGGGGGGGGGGGGGTTCAGATCTACCCTC